TATATTCGTGGATTTACACAGGTCATTTAGCATCTGTATTAATTATGAAAATTTACATCACAATGTAAGTAATGAACAATCTGGTTATATCACTAAAATTACCACAGATTTCAGAAAGATTACACTCTAATCATTTTACTGAAATTGGTGCTACCACTTCTGTAAGGCATTAGGGAGAAGAAGGGGAGGATAGAGTGTAGCAGAAATTGTTGATAAAGGCAAAGATCCATTTTTTTATTGTTGCAAAGAATGAATAATGTTTATGGCAGTTAAATCTATTTTTATGTTGCAGAACATTTTCTTCCTAAAAAGCTGGAAAGAAAGTCCAATTCGTGTACGGCATATACTGGAAGCGATGTTTGACAGCCAGGCCTGAGGGGCTCTGTGGAGCCCCGTTTGAAAACCATGTTGCTAAGTAATAGATGAGCTGTGGTCTCCAGGACGTGGAACTAACATCAGGTGGTTTTCTATCACCCCTGACATGAGCGGCAGCTGCAGGAAAATTTCCAAATAAAGTCTCTCTCATCATCACCTCCACAGTATTCCTTCAGGGAGTCTGAGAATATTGCTGGTATGCATCCGCATTTTAATCCAACCCTAGGCAATTGCTATTTTTTTTTTTTTTTTTGTACTCAAGTGTCCAGAATAGTCCTTTTCTTTTTCACCCTGGCTCTTTAAACTTGCAACTATTAGCTCAGGAAAAGTTTGTCCCTCATCCCCTGCTTCTCTTTTATATTTGAAACATCTCCATGGTGAATGATAACTGCAAAAGCAATACTAGCCATACGTGTGTTATTAAAAGGAAGTTTTGAATTCTGACATGAATTAGACATTAAACAAACAATATCAATTGAAAATGCTTTTCAGAGACATCAGCACTCCATTTTGGCTTGTTTACAAGATTCTGTTTATAGCCTTTTCTGCCCATTTACGTGCTGTAATTAAACGTGCTTTTTCTCAAATAAGAGCACCCGCTATATAAGGAGCAATTTCTCATTCAATTTTGTTTCTGATTAACCTCTAATGTTAAACTTAGATAAACTTCTATAGAATCCCATTACAGAAAGTAATACATCCCTGTTATATTATAATTGAGCGGTCAGGTAGGTTATCTTTAGAATCTACTCTCCCTATAGGCATACTAATTATTTTTATCAGCTGTACTCTGAGTTCCACATAGTGCCCTAAAATGTATATATAAAGCTAATAAAAATGTTAGTCCTTATTTTCTCAAGGAAAGATGAGTGGGAACAAAGAGAGTTAAATTAACATCCCACACTCTTGATTAACACAGGCTGGCAAACATAGGTTTACACAGGTTGTGTAAACAGTCTGGGAAAATGCGACTTGTCACAATGACTAATATGAACCAAGAGGGAAAGCTGTTGTCCAAATCTGGTGTTATACAAATTAGGCAATTCTGAATAAGCTCTAAATGGCAATAAAGGAACTTGTCAATGTTGATATTACAGGATTAATTCAGTGGGGTGGGTGTGTGACTATTATTTCTTCTCCCATTAAGTAGGCAGAGAGAAGCATAGCTGTTTGAGAAGTATCTTCATACAGAAACTTCATAGCTCTTATTCCACAGATTTTAGGTGTTCTCAGTGACCTTTCTAATTATTTCCCAGAAATGTGACACAGAGGGAAGGACAGTCTGGGAAAAAGAAAGCGTCCAAACCTGATTGTGAATGAAATGCAGCCACAAAAATTCTATCCAGCCCTTCACTCATTCATTCATTCTACACATATTCACGGAGCACCTACAGTTCTAGGTGCTGGGGCTACTTCAGTGACTGAAATAGTCCAGGATATCCTCATCCATCTGAATTCATATGCAGGAGATAAAGCATAGACAATAAACATAATAAATAAGTGAATTATATGCTATGTTATAAAATGATGCATGCTTTGGAAATACAAAGTGTAGAGAAGGATAAGGGTTTTGGGGACAGTGGGGTAGAGTTGAGGGGCAGCATGTAAAACTATCCCTCATGTGCAAATGGAAATCTTGTATACACGTATCTTGCATCAGATAGGTTACCTCTAAGATACTTTAAAATATAAAGGTTAAATAAAGTATCAAGATTAAATATATAACAGAAAGTTTCAGAAATTCCACCTTCTGTCCCGTGAAATCTTAAAAATTATTAACTTAAGAAGTATCTAGTACAAACTATGTGGTCAGGCACTGAGTACATTTCTAGTGAATCGGTATCATTTAAATTCTCAGAGCATTCCGGCAGTGAGCAGAAACTGTTTCATTTGGTTTTAGAGGAATTTAAAATCTGTTGCTATAGTGATACCATACAAAAAGGAAATGTGTATAATTTGTATTATCTTTTTAGGATAAATGCCCAAAATGTACTTATATATCAACATTTGTTCAGGAATTGTATTTAATACCATGTATGAGGATGGATGAACATGTATGTGGCTCTCAAAGCATTCTTTGAGATCTGATTTTTAGAGTTTGTGTGTATCATTTTTCAATACAGAGTCCATTATTATGAGGAATCCCAGACATAATAGAATTGTGCCACAAGTCAAGACATTGAAAAAAAGAGTTACCACATGGGAAATGGCTTAGAATAATATAACTAAACTGGCGAAAGTAAATTTGCTTTGTTAGTATAATAACTGGTAATATGACTCACAGATGGACAACGCAAATTAAACAGAAATTCCCTAGGGCCATTATTGAATAGGGAATCCATGTCTCTGTACTGTATACATTTGGTAATTCATTTTATATTTCAACTGAAAGTAGGAAACTTTTTTCCTGAAAGCAACTATCTGAAAAGCTGATTTGACCGAGAGAAGGCAGTGAACATAAAAATGCAATTTAGAGCTTACCTAGGACAGAATGACAAAGTTATAGCATTCCATCGACACCATCAGAATCAACAGAACCTATATTTAAAAAGTAGTAATTTCCAAAGGAATGAGGCAGTAGAGATTCAATTTCCTCAGACTTTACTTTGAGTAAATATGTTAGTAAACATTAAAATATTCCACTGGTTATCTATCATAGATCAGATGGAATAAACAATGAATAACCTTGGACAGATGCAAAGTACTAAACTGGAACAGTTCATTTAGTAAAGGATCATAGATCCTTTCCCACCCCCCATGAAGTTGACTGCCAACATGGACCCATCCTTTTTCTATATTTATTTTTCTTCCCGAATACAGTTCTGCTTTCTTGCTGCTTTGAATCGACAGTGCTAAGTTAGGAAGTCTACTGCCTTTGGACAACTTCAGATATTTTTGTGTTTTTACTTTTTTTTTTAAGTGATCAAGCATTTTTGTGAGAGTCCCAGGATATTTTTAAAGTTTTTTCTGAAAATAAGATTGACTGTTAAGTGGCTGACGGAAGCACTCTTGCATCTAATTAGCAGATCAGGGTAAAAGTGAGAATATATGAGAATCATTCTGAAAGCTCACAGGTTATGTGAAAAACAAATGACTGTCTTGGTGATTCACTATGTATAACAATTTGAAATGTGAGCAAACACTTACATGCTGCATTCCAAGAGAAACATATTTCTCAAGTGATCTTCAATTATACATTTTAATGACTAATTATGATCGTATATATTATCATCTGATCATCTCAGAATGAGAACTGCATTTGCATTTTCCTGGTATCTAATATGCAGCACCTATGTTTTATATTTGATATAGAGGATAAAATACTCAGTTATACTTAGAGGTGTTTCTCAAAGTATGCCTATTATAAACACTAAACTCTTTTTTCTTTAATTGTTCTAAGTGTATGAAATAATCTAAAACTTAGCAAGGCACATATATTAACCTGAAACATACTTATATCTAGAGCTTCAACATCGTTGGGGCTTATATCACTATACTTTGATAAAACAGAAACTATAAGATTAGGTTAAAAAAAAAAAAAAGAATGAGGCTTTTGAAAACTTTGTTGTAAGACCATGTGTAAAAGATTCCAATAACTGTGTCATTATGATGGTTTGTAAATGGGAGGTGGTCCGATTACTTCATATTGTTTTCTGAACCATATAATAAAACTAGAGGAAGACCGTTGGGATAGAATTGTTTTTCAGCAACATTGGAAGGTAACTGCCACGTACACTCTTGCTGGTCAGTTGAGCCATCTTTCTAGGCCAATCCCTGAAGAAGGGAGGAGGATCATTGTCCAGTGTCTACAAATATGTGACATCTGTGTTTCAGGCCGACCCACGGTAAACTGATCTCATGACATTATAAAAAGACAGTTGTATTAAAATAAAAGAATAATGGAGAAACATTGTTTACGACTGCCTATATTAAGACTTGGAACCAAAGAGTTCACTAAATATACTGGTCAAAAATGGTCATCGTCACTAACTTTTGGCAACTCAGTTATTATTACTGTATTTTAGTTTTTATTGTTTCCTCCCTCTTTCCTTTTCCCCTCCCTCCCTTTTGGTTTAGAAATCAAAAGTGGGCACAGTTTCCTAAGAGAATGTACTTTTTTTTGTTTGTCAACCTCACCTTAATAGAGCAGTAGATAGGATATGTTTGAGTTTTCACCAATGATGGCTTTCAATCTTTCTTCTCTGACACTTAGTGACATTTTAGGCACATTGCAAATCTTGCCAGTTTGGTTGTTAAAAAAGTCTGTCTAGTTTAAAACTCTGTTTTTAAATTAAATTAAATTAAATTGAAACCTGTCTCCCTTCCGGTGCAGCTGTTGGGGCTGGTTGGGTCTATTCAACAGACTCTTAATCCCAGAGGCGGCTCTGGCAGCACGTGCCTACCAGTAAGCCTTCTTTGGCTTCACTGCCAACTCCTGGACAACGAGACAAGTGCTACCGAATGTCCTGTTACACATAAGTGACTTATGTACAGTGTGGTGTCCCATAATGTCCCACTTAGAACATAATTCTGGAGACCTTCCTTTCCGTCCGTTCTCATACACGTGCATATTACCTCCACCCACAAAGGCAGACGTGTTTAACACGGGAGGGAAGCGGGATTACCGTGGCTGTTACACCTGGACGTCTCCACCAGCCGGCCGTTCTGGTCGTAGCACGCCATGGCTTGGTAACGATAGCCTTGGCCGCACTCCTTGATGTCTCCCTGGACTTTCATTCCCAGCAGCACTTCCACTTTCCCCTCCGGCAAAATGCAGTCCGACCAGTTCCCCACGGGCTGGGCATTGTACTTGTCACAAGGACAGTACTGAGTCTCCATCAGTGGGTACACCTGAGAATTTTTACAGTTTTCCTTCTTTTTGCTTTTGCCTGTGGAGAAAATTAAGTTGGAAAGTACCCTTGTTAATTTCAAGCCTTCCCTACGTTTTCTCCTTTCTTAAACTTCCTTTGTCCATTTGAGCCATAGTCAACAGTAGTCTATAAATAAACACCGTTTTCTCACCTCACAGTGCTTTCTATCTAGGCTTTTGTGAGTATGGGGTGATTTCCATAGTGAAAAAAAAATGTATTTTTTCATGTAAAAATAGATAATTTGCCTGGCTGGTGTGGCTCTGTGGTTGAGTGTCTACCTACGATCCAGGAAGTCATGGTTCTATTCCTGGTCGGGGCACCTGTCTGGATTGTAGGCTCGATCCCCATTGGAGGCCATGCAGGAGGCAGCCCATCAGTGATTCGCTCCATCACTGATATTTCCATCTCTCTCTCTCTCCCTTCCTCTCTGAAATCAATGAAAAGAAATAGCTGATTTAAAAATAGCCCTTATAATAAGATTTTAACTGTTGTGGTGAATTTTATACTCTTTAAAAAATGTTCAAAATAGCCGAAACCGGTTTGGCTCAGCGGTAGAGCGTTGGTCTGCGGACTGAAAGGTCCCAGGTTCGATTCCAGTCAAGGGCATGTACATTGGTTGCGGGCACATCCCCGATAGGGGGTGTGCAAGAGGCAGCTGGTCGATGTTTCTCTCTCATGGACGTTTCTAGCTCTCTATCTCTCTCTTTTCCTCTCTGTAAGAAAAATCAATAAAACACATTAAAATAAATAAATAAATAAATAAATAATGCTCAAAATCTTCCCAAATGATCATGTGTTCCCACTGACTGGGAGGTGGGAGGTAACCACAGTAATTTCTCCTGTAAATGTGCACAAAGATGAAATGGGAGAGGGAGTCACTGCCTGAACTTCACAGTTTTGTTAGATGGTATAGTTATCTAGGGAATTGAGAAATTGAGAATTTGCATTTGCTTTTACTTTTTTTGTATTTACTTTTCTGATTATGATTTTGCCCCTTTCAGCATTTCTGAAGAATAATCATTTTGATACACTTGTGGTTAACTAGGTATCAATAATATTCAAAGTGAAGATATTTAATATGAGGAAAAATATTAGAGATTGTTTATATATAAATGTAAATAAAGCCCCTTTTAAAATAAAAAACTCAGGCCGAGCCCGGTTTGGCTCAGTGGTGGAGCATCGGTCTGTGGACTGGAAGGTCCGAGGTTCGATTGTGGTCAAGGGCATGTGCATTAGTTGCGGGCACATCCCCTGTGGGGGGTATGCAAGAGGCAGCTGGTCAGTGTTTCTCTCTCATCAATGTTTCTGGCTCTCTGTCCCTCTCTCCTCCTCTCTGTAGAAAATCAATAGAATATATTTTTAAAAAATTAAAAAAAATAAAATAAACAACTCAGGTATAATAGTAATACATGCTTAAAATTATATATCATTTTAATTAGATAACATATATTTATATTTATTATTTAAATCTTATAGACAAATTATATTAAATACCATTAATACATATATTTTACATATATGTATCTGTAGCTTTCATAAGCTAGCTTATATACTTTTTTGTTTATGACAGCTGGCTTATTTTATAAATTTTAAATTCTGAGTAGTCAGCTAGCACCAATATTTTTAGGTTTCTTTTGCCAACTGACAGTCTTTCTGAATGCACCAGGGTATAGGTCAGTACGATGTCTCCTGCTCTTGCTCATTATATCACTGTTTTTTGTCATTGTGATTGCCTTTCAAAATGCAGTGTTCTGACACAGAATTAACGTCACTGTCCTCTTCCAGGATAATCCGAGGCTGTGTCAGTGAGAATGGGCTTAAAAAATGAAGGGGCAACATTTCCTCGTGTTCACAAAGACGTTTTCTCCCAGCCCTTCAGAGTCTGTAGGCAATTCACCAAAAGTCCATATTTAAACAAAAAATAACCTTCCACATATTGTACAGGTGATGGAGTTTGATTTTCAAGGCCACTTTGTCTTTGTGCTAAAATTACAGTGTGTCGGTTGCTGCCAACTAACAGTAAAACCCACATCCAAATCCACTGGTGATGTATTAGGTGTAAGTATACCAATGATAAGGCATTTCATTGGTATACAATCCACCTGTGAATTTTCCAAATGCATCATCGGGACTCCCTTGGTCTGACTGCTTTGTGTTTTTCTACCTTGACAAGTGGTGACTTAGGCACTCCAGCTAATTATTCTTACCAACAATAGCGCGCTTTCTGGTCCTGACTGCCCCACAGTCTCCATTGCATGAGGAAAACTTGGACCAGCTGGTAAACTGACAGTCGTCTTGGCAGGGGACCTGGCAGGCCTGGGTGAGGGCTGGCACCGGGCCTGCGTGCTGGAGGCATTCGTGGATGCCAGCCTGCCCTCCGTCTTGCTTTCGACAGGTAATGGCTAGAGGAAAAGCAGAGAACTGTTTATAGCAAACTGGAATGTCTGTAATTACTCTGCAATTTAGGAATTAACATTTTCTTAAGTAGAGGAATCCTCTCCTTATCCTTTATTTTCAGCAGAAATCTAGTAGAAGTGTTTGCAAAAATTGATGGTGTAGGTTTAAAAAAAAATCACAGCTAACCCTCGTTGGTTTTTATTAGATGCTAGGAAGACTTTCAAGTCACATGTGAGGTATACTGAAGCATGAATTATTTAAGAGCAAATAAATAATATATGGGATCTGATAATAGTTTATGTTGAACACAGGCTATTGACAGAAGGGGTGGGAGACACCGCCCACCTCTAATAATTGCTTTTACCTCATTGGCCACTCTAGGATTCCTGGGGCTTAGTGGCAGCAAATGGGTTGGAGGGTTGGGTGGAAAGGGGATGCTTATGGAATTTGTCCTGAAGCTGCATTTGCATATTTTTGTTTTTTGACTTTTTACATTAGAAGTTTGTTGGGATGGCTTTGGAGTGGTTAATGAAAGGGGCAGTGTCAAATTCCATATCATTCCCCTCACTCTTAGCACACATAAATCTCAACCAAAAATTCAAAAATAAAATAAAAACTTTCAGCAACCTTCATCTATCATACCACAATTGATATTTCTACAACTACATTTGGACCTTTAAAAAATGGTATGATAAATTAATAATTTTAATTTGTATATGTTATTTCCCCAAGATATTGTCTTACTGATTTCTATTAACCATATCATAGTTTCATTACTTTTTAAATGTAGATGTAAAACTGCTTGAAGGTGAACAAGTATAAAAAAAAGACCAACAACAAGTGATGGTTGAAACACCTTTACTTCCTCTGCCTTTTTCCTTGTTGGTTTTAAAATAATTCATTCACTTACTGAGGAAGCAGAGGAAACGTTTATACGTTGGCCCTAAAGTTAAGTCTTTACTGAACTAACTTAAATGGTGTTAGTCCGGCTGATTTACATGACCTCTCAGATTTATGGGCTAGGCTGAAACGGCTGCTGATCTCTGCCTGCTCAGGATTCTGTCATTATGAAACTAAGGTAAAGAGGCCTGATATTTTTGACCCCAAATTACAGTGAAAGGGGCACAGAAGGCCTCTGGTTATACAACACTCTCAGAATCTGTATACATAAATGTAACACCTAGCAGTTCAGGATGGGGTGTGTGTAAGGATCTAACAATTCTAGCAAGAGAAGGCTTCATCTGTGTAGATGGACAATTATTGTAAGTCATTGCAATTTCTACAGAAAAAGTTCATACTTGTGCAAATGTAGATGGATTCTCACCTATTTCTTAGCTTATAAGTATCCCTTCATTTAGTATTTAGAACCCTGGAAGGGCCAATTTTATGAAAAGAACAGGGTTCCCTAAATTTTAAAGATATAAAGACCTAGTAGACAGTAATTTACAAAGGTTTATATGACAAGAAAAACCATTAATGGTCCCAAAGAGACACTTATCCCATGGGAGAGGAACTGTCTGGTGATCTGTGTTGATCATACCAACCTGAGATAGTGGGTCTCAAATCAAACTTCAGATTAAAATCACCTGGATAGCCTTTGGGAAATGTCCACACCTTTACCTAACTCAAATATTCTGATTTAAGTGATGGAGGGCAGGGTCCTGGGCATTCGCATCTTTTTAAAACTTCCTGAATGATTCAAATGTGTAACAGTGGATGGAGACCACTGCTCAACTAGGTCAGATATTTCCACTTGCATCAGAAAGGCCTGGAATGCTCTTAAAGTTGAAGAATACTGTATTCGTTCCAGAGCTCCTGCACTAGAATTCTGTGTGTGGGGTGAAGGAATATGGATTTTTCCCCCCAAGCTGCTCAGATTTCCTTATGCACATTCAAGCTGAAGGTCCACTAGGCTTGAGCACTGAAGGCACAAGGAGGGATTTGGTCAAAACTTGTGGCTAAGATGAAAACTCCTCTGGCACCCAATCACCTTGGCACGGTGCCAAGTGGAGGGAAACAATGGCTGAGCATGTGGGAATGAGCTAAGGAAGCTCTAAACTTGGAGCTCCAAGGGATCTGTACAAAGAGTGGCCCTGTACAAAAAGAGCATCCACATAGCTTGGGAGAAAGTCCTCTGTGGGTGTAGAAGGAGTCCCTGTGATGTGGTATTCTAATGAGCTTATTATTCTAATAAGATTTTTGCAGTTATTGCAAAAACTGTGGAAGCAGGGTTGATTCCTTAAACACTTCAGACTTAGCAAGCTTTGGTGGCTTGCGAGCAGAGCTGCCCCAAGAAGGCTAACGAGGAAGGATTGATAAAGAGGAAGATATTAGATTTTAGATTTTCTACTCTGCAGGAATCCCAAGAATGACACATTTGGAAAATAAGAGCTTTGACCATATCAGAACTCTTAGCTTGGAAGCAGGTCACACTGTTTATAACTAAAAGAAAATTACAGGACTAAATGTGGGTTCCTTGAAATAAGACTACTTTTACCTACTCATCCAATTTGGCTCTCTGAAACAGAGACCTGGTTATATAATAAATCTTCTGAGAAACTAAATGAAGTTGCCTTATGTTTTCCACTCAGGTTCTCTCTCTAATACAGTTCTTTTTCACCAACTATATTTCAGAACTGTTCCAATTATCATCACATTAAGTAATAAAAAATAACAAAAGAAAATCACTACCATAATTCCAGAAATAAATTAATCTTGGGTAGATCTATATAAACTACTTACAAAAATCTAAAGTTCTTTTCTCTATACACCTGCAGTACATAAAATCTTTAATATTACGACTAGTTGGAAAGAAAAAAAATATGTAAAATTCCCATATCTGTTCTGAGAACCCACTCAGCACTCCACTCTCCTTATCAGAGATTTTAGACAATGTGCTTTGAGAGAATTACTCAGGCCATGTTATGCAAACAAGTAGAAGCACAAGAATTTGTACAATATATTGAAAATTTATCACACATCTCAACGTGTTTCTATTCTGGCGTAGAGGAAATGCAACAATTCAAACACAAGAATGCAATCTGAAATGAGTTTCCTGCTACTGGGGGCCAGGAAAATAGAAATGAAAAGGAAATCATCTGGTCTCTCAACTTTATAAATTTTAAAAATAATTTCTAAGACACTAAAATCAGAATGTTTTTAACTGCATCTTACAAGGCATGGTTTCCTAGCACACCAGGATGCTGCATACACTCAGATAACTGTATCTGTATTTACAGGTGGAGCATTTACATCTCATGCATAATCACTATGCTGCAAGTTCTTCTCTGGGCTGAGATCTTTTTTAGGAAGATGGGCCAAAAACCATGTGACCCTACAAATAATTCACCATAAAAGCTTCTTATTGAGGTCAGCAAATATAAAAATGATTATTGTAAAGTAAAATCCCATATGTAACTCCCTGGTGATTATATCCATTTATGTATTGATGATTTTATTGTACTTGTTAAGGCATAAGAGGTTTTCAGTTGAATTGATTGGGGTGATATTGGTTAATAAGATTATATAGGTTTCAGGTGTACAATTCCACAATACATCATCTGTATATTGTATTGTGTGTTTACCATTACAAGTCAGGTCTCCTTCCATCAGCATTCCTCCCCCTTTTACCCTCTTCTACCTCACCCCACCCCTCCTTTTAAGTGTCAGGGACAGACTGCTTCCGGCAGGCTGAAAGCCAGGAAGATATCCATGTGACTGACTTGTGAGTTACACAGGAATCAAGCCTGCGGAGATGTTGGAAGAATAAATAAGAAAGCCAGTATTTTTAAACAAATAAACGGTCTGAAAAGAAGAGACAGAATTGTTAGTTTCAAAGGGACTTAAAAAATATTCCAATTAAATGCAATGGGGAGAACTTCATGAACCCTAATTTAATCAAATCCGATATAATAAAAGTTTAATATGCAAATCATCCCCTCAGAGTTCAATCGACCCAGAGTTCAACCACTTGCTAAGACGTGCACCGACTACTAGAGGGAGGCACAGAATGAAGGAAGGCCCAGGCTGGCAGCCGGAAGGCCCTGTTTGGCCCTGATAGCTGGCCAGGCCTAGGGACCCTACCATTGGGTGAATTTTGTGCACCAAGCCTCTAGTCAATTATAAACAAGGCATTTTTGAGACAACAGGGGGAAATAAAATGTAATCTGAATGTTAGATGATATTAAAAAATTATTGTTAATTTTAATACTATAATAATACTGTTATGTTTAAAAAATAATTACATATGTATGGATGGCATGTTTCTTACATAGAAGTTGCCTTAAAATATCCCAGCAAAATCTTTTTAAGTATGTGAGGAGTGGCAGAGGACCAAGAATGGCAACATGTTAAAAACTTGAGGCTGAGGGAGTGACTAATACTACAAGTACCCATTAAATTATTCTCTTTACTTTTATGTATTATTGAAATGTTCCATAAATTTAAATTTAAAAAAGACTAATAAGTAGAATAAGCAGAGTCAATTCCAAAATGTTTTTATGTAAGTCGAATTCTGTGCTCTGTTTTGAAGAGGAGAACACTAAAGGTTCCTGACATGAAAGGAAATAGATCACATTGGTTTGAGCAGAAAGGACACAGATATCAGTGTTATGCATATCTGAGTATGGAAATGGAAGGATACCGGAGCAGCTGTGAAGTGAATGTAATAGAATTCAGAATGCAGCTACTCATCTTCATTTTCTTGAAGGGGAATGAAACTCCCTTACTATTCAGGATGCATAAAAAGGAGAAGTGCTGTTGGCCTATGGGATGACCCTTCAGCAGGTAAGACTGTGTTGACATTTTGTTCAAATAATCAGAATGAAGTAAATGGCAAGAACCAGAATGTGCGCACTGAAGTTCAGAATCAGATCACTGCCCGCACGCAGGCAAAGCTGCTGAATTATATGTGACAAAGAGTTCAAGGAGCTCTGAGACCTGACTTATTAAATTGAGCAGCATTAACATGGCTTATCCCACAGTCACAGCATTCGGGTAGCTCTGG